AATTCTTTTTGTATATTATTTATTCTTCATTTCATTTGTTTAATCAGTAAGTACTTAGTGTGCATTCTGCCCTGAGGGGGTCTTAGATCAGGCAGAGAAAACCTAAAGACAAATTTACCGTTATCCACATGCTTTCCAATAGCTTCTGGCCTCATAACATTAGACTTATAGAACACACTATTTTATCATGTCTGTTTTTTGAGAGATGTTCTTAAGAACTCCAGCTGAATTAGTTCACAATTCTAGGTGGGAAGACAGAAGTAGAAGCTATAGCTTTCTGAAAACAAGTGAGCTTAAAGAAGTTTCTATAAGGATGCTGCTCAGCAAAAAGCAATTCCAAAGAAGTAAATTCTGACTAACATGTGTAGCACCTGTGGCGATTTTCAAGCATTAACATTCCTTACACTTCCTTGCCATAATTTATGGCAAATAAGAAAACCTACTTCATCTTCTCACAGAAGGGAGAGTAGTTTCACGAAAGCTAGAAAATTGAATTCTATTTCTCAGGTAGGTTAAAAACATAATTACGTGCTTTAACTGTTTTGCATATTTTCTTTTTTGGTTTCTCTAGCTACATGAATCATATGTCATATATACATTATAGTCTTAAATAGTCTAAAGCTCTCACTCATCATCCATATTTTTCACATCAATCACAGTGATTTTTTTTTGCTATGAAAATCTGATCTCTGTTAGAAATGATGTTCTTGTTACTACAGTTGGTTTGAGGGAAATTCATCTGTCTGTGAGAGACCTTCATGTTACCTTTGAGAGAAGCAGTGACATTTATTTTATGTCTTTACATATATATATATATATATATATATATATATTACATCATTGTTTATTTTTTAACCAGTGTTTGCGTTCTTATCTCAGATGTAGGCCCCATAGAATTTCCACTATCAATTCCCTGTTCTGTTCACCTCTCTTGTTCTGTTCCCTCTTCCTCTTCCTCCCCTGCTGAATGTCTCTGGTTTATAGAGGTCTGTTTATTTTTGTTTTGTTGTGTTACATTCTTTATTGTTATTAATTTTTTTCTCTGATGCCTTATTTGGTTCCCCTTTATTCCTCCTATAATTGAAACCATCCAATATTTTTCTCTTTCCCTTCTGACTTATTTCACTGAGTATAATTTTTTCTAGTTCCACCCATGTTGCTGCAAAAGGTGTGCGATTATCTTTAATGGTTGCTGAATAGGATTCCATTGTGTATATATACCATCTTTTTGATCCAGTCCTCTATTTTGGGGCATTTGGTTTGTTTCCATGTTTTACCTATTATAAATAGTACTGCAATAAGCATAGGGGTGCATGTATTCTTTTGAATCACTGAGTTTGTGTCCTTTGGGTAGATCCTGAGAAGAAGAATTGCAGTGTCATATGGTAGGTCCATTTTTAGTAGTCTGAGGAAACTCCATACAGCTTTTAATAGTAGTTTTTACTACCACTAGTGTAGGAGAGTTCCTTTTTTGCCACATCCTCACCAACATTTTTTGTTGCTAGTTTTTTGATATGTACCATTTTTACTGGTGTATGGTGATATCTCATTGTGGTTTTGATTTGCATTTCCTTGATTTTGAGGGATGTTGAATATTTGTTCATATGCCTGTGGGTCATTTGCATTTCCTCTTTGGAAAAGTATATTATAAATTCTTCTGCTTATTTCTTGGCTGGGTTGTTTACTTTGTTTTTGTTGAGTTGTATGAGTTTTTTGTATATCTTTGTAATCAGTCCCTTATCAGTTATATGGAGTGAAAAATGAGTGACATTTATAAGTATGTCCCCTATTGGTAATGAACTAGTCACAAAGCTTTTTATTATTTTGGTGGCAGCTAGAAGCAAGAGTGTATAAAAGCTAACTGAATATTTTTTTTTTTTCCCAAATACCACTTGCTGATTAGCCCATAATGGTGGGTGAGCAAAGGTCTAATTAATCAGTTACACATCGGACTAGTGTTTGCACCCAGGATAAAATTTTGGTTTTTCTTATTTCACCTGAGCCTTTCATCACATTAGTTCTTCTTGGTGCTCTGATAATAAAATTAGAATTTTTCCCAAGTTTTTACTTTTTTTGATAAAAAATAGTAATCTTGATCAAAAAATAGAAAATTTTTTTTATAAAAAAATAGTAAGTTTTCTCTAGAAAACTTACCACTTAGTAAAGAAGCTTGGGTGGCTCTCTGTCGTTCAGTATTTGTATTTTCTTTGGCTAGTGGGCCACTCGCCTAGATGGAATTCATTTGTGCTTTTCACTCATTCTTTCCATCCTGGCTGTGAGAGGATTTTTATACTATGCCTTATCCACTCAAAACATCTCTAGCTTTCATCCATTGCTAAATCTCAGTATTCAGCAGAGATGTTGACATTTATTTATTTATCTCCATTATTTCCTAAATTTTCTCCCCCAATCAACAAAATAAACAGTGTGTCTATTTTTCAGTCATCCTAGAGAGTAGGAATCCAAAAGTCACTGAGAAAAACTCAAGTCTTCAATTTCAAGATAATGCTTTAATTTAAAGCTTCCTATTTATTCTTCATTCTCTCTCTCTCTCTCTCTCTCCTTAAATAGCCTCCAGCTGTCCCTTGCCATCCATATTTTGCACATCACAGTAATATTGTTTGATTTGAAAATCTGATTGCACATGCCCCTTTCTTGCTTAAAGTCCTTCAGTGACTTCCTGCTTCCCAGAGAATGAAGTCCAGGCCCATCACCTGATATAAGCTCCATTGTATTGTGTCTCCCATCTAACCTTTCAGAGCTACAGTAACCACCTCTGAACTGCTTCCTGTGAATGGGACATTCTTGCCTTCACTACTTTTTTTTTTTTTTTTTTGGCAAAATGGTACAACTTCCTTCTTGTGTCTTCCCCTCACTGTCCTGCAACATCTTCCCAGTGGCATATCACCACTTCACAGTGGGTTTGAAAAAGTTTCTGAAGGCTATCACCCTGGGTTTTGGTCATGGCTCTGGTACTTATCACTTGTGAATAAGTTATGGTGTCTCAGTGCTTTAATTTCTTTATCTGTAAAATTGAATAATATTAGCACTCACCTCACATGTGAAAAGTAAATCAGCTAATACATATAATAATGTATCATGTAGTTACATAATAAATTCTTATGATAAATCCATCAATTTTCACAAGATTTTAATAGAAAATTTTATTTTTTTTAAATTATAGGACAAAATATAAATGGTATAATAGTTATACTATGGTAAAAGATTATAAATAGAATAAAACATTCCAAAGTCAAATATAAATCACTTAGGGATTGCCAGTTTAAAAGAATTAGTTATCTCTATTCTCTTTTGGTGATTATGTAATTAACACAAAGCTTTTGAAATTAAAATAAAATGAATTCAAATGAGTAGATACTTATATTGAAAAGAAGGGATAAGTTGTCAAAGTACATATATTGCTATGTACTCAATTGCTTTTTCAATCTCAGTTGAATATTTTATTGGGTATGTTCCAACTTTTTCAAATTTTAGGGTATTTATCCTATTTTAAGAGATGAAGGGAATGAAAATTTGACTTTGTACACACTATAATCATTAATATAATTATCAACCACTTAGCCTAGGTAGTCTAAAGATTCTGATGTCTCTAAGACCAACCTGTGTCTGAAATTTGAAGCAATACACAGAGTAGGAACTTAAGCCAGACTCAGGATCTCAGAGGAATCTGATGAACAGGAGAAGTAGCGCTTTGCCTGATTTCAGGAATGCCATTTAGATCTCTACTTGGATGTAGGACAAAATCACACCTCTTATTTAAAGCCATGATCTCAAGCAGCTAGAGAGAGTCCTGATATTATGATAACCAAAGAATTTCATAGTTGGGAACAGGATGTAATGACCGGTTTTTGTGAGGCTATAGCTTTAAGAATTCCATTCTTTAAAATCTGCCTGAGGAAATATGAGGAAGGACCTCTTCGCCTTCTCATCCTCCACTTTTACTGTCTTTTAGTGTGAGACCACAGCTAAATAAATTGCTGGGATCCACTAAATTGCCCTGGAGTATTTGGAGCTAATTCATATTTTTAATTGATTAATTGGCCAAATCTGTACCTTACTGAAGTGAGAAAAGTTTAGTGATTTCCATGACCTTGATTTTCTTAAGACAATAGCAGAAATAGAGAACATTCCTGGCTAATCAGACATTACAGATACCCTAAAGTTGGAGAGAGAAGAGAGTTAAAAAAAGAGGGGTAGATAACACAGAATTGTTTTGCAAATTCTCTTTCCTTCTCTTTGTATATGTCCTTCATATTCTGTCTCCTCTTCTATGACTTCCTTCTATTTTAATAAGTTTAACTGTGTGTCTAGTGCCAGAAGATGCACACAATAAAAAAAATTCCTAGTTAAGCAAAATAAATGCCCTTCAGTTAAAGTGTCATTCTATTGTAAACTACACCATAAGAACATTGCCTGGTAAGCATGCACTGTTTATGAAGGTTTATGATTATGAAGGTTTATGAAGTCCTGTGTATTGAGAGCATTAGTATTTATAATAATGTACCTTGCTTGACTTTCTATGGATCTACTGGCTTTGACTGTGGATCTGAACATGATATATCCTGCTTTGGGAATTTTCGATTTTAGGCATATTGTCTAAACTGAAAAGTAAATCTAATTCTATTTTCTCACTATGATGCTTGTCAATGTGTTTTAACAATGCATTCCATCAATAAACATTTAATACCTGTCAGCGCTATTTGCCAAGCACTGTTAGAGGTTGTGATTGAGTAGGACACAAACATAAATAAGATGTGGTCACATATTCAGTATTCATATTCTGCCAAACATTTTTGAGTTAAGAATATGTTCCTTAGTATTTCATAACAATCAAATTTTAATATTTATACTTGATAGAATTTACTATGATCAGCAAACATATGCTTATTTCATTGTTTAATTATCTATTTCAATGATCTAAATGTTTATTTCTCCCCACTTCTACCTTTGACCACATCCCGGGCATCTTGTTTGTGAAGCTGAGTCATCCAATGTTGACTATTCCTGAACATGAAACTCTTGCTTCCAACGAGGTAAATGCAAGATACAGTTGGACATCAAGTTACCCATCTACATATGATATCAGGGTGTAGAAATAAACCAGACTTATAAAAAAAAAGTATAAAGTCATGCATAATTTATTTATTGAGGCAACATTAATGTATAATACTGTGTATGATTTAGAGATACAGGATCACACCCTGAGGCACATGTTACCACATCACACCTACCCAATCATGTTTTTTTTTCTATTAAAGTTTTATTTATTTATGCATACAAGAACTAGGGTGCAGGCTAGAGGTGTGTGTGGGGAGGCGGGGGGAGGAGTGGTGAGATGATTCACTTGAGACAGAATGGGAAACAGAACACGTGGATCTAGTGAAATACACTGCTGGGCGAGCAGTGGGTGAAAGAGACTAGGTCTGTTGCGCCACATGGGTCACATTTCTGGTGGTGATTGGAGGGTTATTGTGGTTGCAAATAGCTTCATAATGCTGAGACTTAAACTCTTGTGCCACCAAGGAAGCCCCCAGTCATGCTTTTTTTTTTTTTTTTTTTAAAGAAAGGACTTCCTGGACTACTCTGTATTGTTCAGAAATTGAAGATAGTTAAGTAGGTAAATTCTTGGTATTTGTCAGTGTGCAGAGTGGTACAAAATTTCCCTTATGGACAGCACCTTGATCACAAACCAACTTTTCCTCAGATTGTCTGGCTTTGTGATTTCCTTTTTAGATTCAAATATGAAACTTGTCTTTTTTTTCTCTAGAAGGTCTGAGGACGCTTCATAATACTTGTGGTATATCATCTGAGTTAGAGAGCTCAGCACTCAATTTCAGCTCACTGGAGCAATTCTGTTTATCTCACTGAGCACCTACCTTGACAACCGCCCCTCCCCCACCCCCAAGTGAATTTTGCATCTAACAGGCAGCACTAGGACAAAGGAGAACCAACTCAGACACAGTCACTCTGTTCGTGCTTATTTGGCCACTTTCACAGTTTGGGGGCTGAAGGGCAAAAAAATGTAATATCAAAACCTCCCATTATAAAAGTTATACAACAGAGATAAGAAAAGTATGTAAAGAAATTATTAATGATGTGTTAATCAAGGGCAAGAATAACTGAATAGCCCTCCCTGGTGGCACAGCGGGTTAAGCACTAAGACCCTAAAGGCACTTTCTTATGAGTTCGATCCCTGCCTGCCCCAGAGATCCACATGGCGCTGCAGACCTCTCCTGACCTGCCCGCTGCTCCCTCAGCAGTGTAATTCGTAGATTTGCCTGTTCTGCTCCCGGCTCTGTCTCCGGTGAATCCTCTCACCCTCCGCATCTCTCTCTGGCTTGTACCCCAGTTCTGTATGAATAAATAAATAAATCTTAAAAAAAAAAAGAATAACCGAATGTTTTCTTCATCAGAAAAAGTAGTAAATGTGAGTAGGGAAAAGAAGTAGTTTATAAAGGGGTTATCTTTAGGAAAGAGTGAGCTCACACATTCATTTCAGTCACACCCACAAATAAGGGAATCTCAGTTTTGTAGCCTCCAAATTTAGAAAAACCAAGTGTAATGGAAGATAATTAGAAACAATAAAAATTCCAAAAATAAATAAATAAGTAAATAAATCTGTCTTATTTTGCTAAGACATATTTATCTCAATTCATGATATAGAATCTGACTTCTGCAGTTTGAAACCTCTATCATTTATCTATATGGCTTTCCCATATAACATTTGTTGCTAAAGTATGAATGTATATTATGAATGTGTGAATTTATCGCCTTAACCAAGTCTCTGATTTTTAAAAATCATACTCACGACTCCATGAGTATGAACTTATGGAACACTTTAAATTCTTATAGTCAAATTAAATTTTCGAAAAATTATAGCAATTTACCCTTGCAGGCACATGTTGTAAAACCTAGTTCCATCTACTCTTGCCATAACTTAGAGTTACAACTGTCAGTTTTCTGAGAGATTACTATATATTAAAAGTGTTATGTCTTTTCCATATTTCATTTAATTTTCAAAAAATTCAGGTACAGTTATTATTTCCATTTTACAGATGGTGAAACTAAGACTGAGAGAAATCGGTTTATTTCCTATGGCCAAATATTTCCTAAGGCCAAATAACTGGAAAGTAACTACTCATCAAACTGCATCTAGTTCTCCCTGTTTGGAGCCTATACTCTCAGGCACTCTAACTTACTTTATCAAGATCTCTATCCAAGTATCTATACTATCTATATTTTTCTCCCCTTCAGAGTGCTATTTTTAAATATTTGACAATTTCAAAGGGGGTTGTGTTTTGCACTTATTTGCATTTAGAAAATTCTATATTTTCTGTCATTTTAGCCTGTTTGTTTTTGTATCATGTTGTTGCATTTATTTGCTGCCATAGCAATACTTCTTGAGATGTAAACTACCTTTACATATAAAGGATATTAACTTGTTTTCCATTGTGTTAATTTTTTAATGTGATAATAGCAATTTTTATAATGAAAAATTGAACAAATAGACATACATGTATGTACATATGCACATATACAATTATGTACGTACATATATGCATGTATGTTCACACACATGTATATATATGCATACATGTACATACATATGCCCCAAAGTGGCAGGATGGTAGCATACATTTGCACATTTCAGAAAAATGTAAAAAATAAATAATTAAATGTTTTTATTCCTTCAAATATAATTGTTTTGACTTTGACTTATATCTACACAAAAAGAGTATTTCTACACTATAATAAAACATCAGTTGTTTATTTAAATGATCAGCCCAAGTAATATGTGAACTAAGAATTTCTGAATCTTAGGAAACGTGAAAGGCTGTGTTGCTAGAAAGGACAGTAGATGTGGCATTTGTATATTTTTTTTCACCAATTAGCTCAACTCAAAAGACAAATTTAAAATTGAGATTGTGAATAAAATTATCAAAAGTGACTTTAACTTTACACGTTGAATATGTAAGAACACCATAAAAGAAGGTAAGGTCTGAAGTTTAATGTTTGTAAGAGACAGTGAGTTAATTATCACACAAGTAAATAATTAAGAAAAGTGCCATATTTATGCTTCCATTGTGTTGTATTTTATGTCTTAGTAATGACCCATTTTAGAGCAATTTAATTTGATTTTGTAGTTCCTTAAGTGTGGTTTTACTTTGAACACTGACCAGGATTTTCCCTAATTGCGCTGTTATTTACCTGTGAAACATGAACAAAGAAAAAAAAAAGTACTTAATAAAACAATTCTGCCTTTATGACTAATGAATAAACCATTCTAGTTACCAAAACCAGTGCAAATAAAGAATCATGGAAGGACCTTTTGGAATATTTGAATTTCCCCTGTTTTTTTTTTTCTTTCTTATAAAGTCAGAACTTTTGTGTTTTCATCCCACATCTTGTATGCAGCTATGCTATTTATAGATACTAGGTTCTTATATTACCAAGGTAATTCATTTAACTACAAACAGATTTACCTGAATTGGTTTGTTCATAGTTTTCAGAACTTATGTTACTTCGAAGGCACTTTTAAAAGAACTAATTGAAAACAGCAAGCCCACTTATTTAGCTCTGTGGTTCTCAACTCTGGCTGAACATTGCTATGATCTGGGGTAACTTACAAAAGCCCCAATGGAAGCATTGCACTCCAGGCAAATTAAATTAAGAACTTCTGGAAATAGGTTTAGACATTGGCAATATTTAAGATCTTCCCAGGTGATTCAAATATCCAAAAAAGTTCAGATCCTCAAATTCTAGCTCCTTCTTTGACAGTCTGATCAATCAAATCAGTTATTCAATCTTGGAAGCAAAAATTACAAGGTAAAAGTGATAGACTCATACAAACAAATTGTGTTATGTGTATGCAATGGAATACTATTCATCTATAAGAAAGGTGACATGTTATCATTTATGGCAAAAGGGAATGAACTTGAGAAGATTAAGTCTCTGATGCTCAAGGATGAGCCATTTAGTCCATGGCTACCTGGGCATCCCCAGCTGGCTGTGATGCAGGTCATTGTCTCAGGGGAGTCATTCAGTTTCTTTTAGGTTTTTTTTTTTTTTTTTTTTATGTTTTAGCTTCTTCTATGGTATTTTTATATATCCAATTCTTTCACACACACACACACACACACAAAGTGCATGGAAGACCCTAGGCAGAAGAGAGGCCACAATAAGTAAGTCAGAACAGTAAAGACACATGTTGGATGATGTCACAAATATGAGTAATATAAGGAAGAAAAGTGGATGAGCTAAGAAAACAAGTAGTAACAAACTAACAGACATTGATGTTTTTCAGGATAAGAGAAGAGAAAGAGAGAAAGGATCCAGGGGGTAAAAGAAATGGTGGTGTGTAAAAAAAAAAAGAATGAAAGATTATTTCAGTGAATACTCTAAACTAATGAAATATAGGTTTATATATTTTGGCCTAATATCATAAAGGTTTAATATGCTTTAGTCTGGGCATATTGATTTATAAGATATATTTTATGTTGAGATTCACAGTAATTGCCACATTAAAACTAATTGCTTTGTTTCTATTTTATTTGATATTCCATACAAGGTTTGAAAAATACATAGGCTGAATTGGGGGGTGGCTTATGTTGTGCATTCTAAAGAATGTCTTCTTTAGCTTTCTATTACTTAAAGAATATCAACCTTTGCTGAACCACCATATGAACAGGGGTGATCCCTAAATAATGAATTTGACCAAGGTGGCTTATCAATCTTTTTCACAGATTTTAGTTTGTTCATAGCAATGCAATATTATCCAAGTAGGGGTGTGTGTGTGTGTGTGTGTGTGTGTGTGTGTGTG